ACAGATAACCTAGACTTAAATATAGTGGTTTAAACCTTAAAAATTCAATCGTAAAATGTCATTTATGGCATTATTGATACTAATAGTACAATGGCGACATCAAAAATAAGCTCATTATTGAATACAGAATTCTTGTTTTCAGTCAAAATAATTGAGATGTCGAATAACTCGTAGAGCAGAAGTTGATTCTCAGTTCTTTGTTTTCGTTTTAAAAATTCTCGTTATGTTTTTGTTTAATGCCCGGTATTACTTGATTGCCTATTCGAGCGTTAAAATTTCCCAATATTATTATCTTTTCTCTGATTTGATCTACTATTTGTTATAATTGTTCGTAAAACGCTTTCCTTGTTGTTTGAGACCTGTTATTTTCTGGGCCGTATACTCCGATGATGTTCAGGTCTTTCTTCTCCATACTTATCTTTGCTGTTACTATTTTTTTCTGATATATATTGATACTCTTTGATGTGATTTTGGTACCTTTGGTGTATTAGTAAGGCTACACATTCTTTGGCCTGTAGTATGTATTCACCTTGATTGAATTCAATTTTGATTGACATTTTGTTTCTCGTAGAGCACAAATGTCTATTTCTTTCTCTTTCAGCACTTGGGTTATTTCTTGGTCCCTTGAGTTGAGTGATCTGATATTCCAAGTAGTAATTCTTATCTGGGTTTTGGATGTTATTCGCTTGTCCTTATTTCTTGCCGTAGTCGTCTTCATAGTATCAATCTGGTTCCGAGGCTGTACATTGTTTCTTTAAGCAGTATTTGTTTTTAGGTAGGTTGCTTGCAGTATTGGTAAGTTGCTAACCTTGCCAATCACCCTCCACATTTTATCTGGGCTTGGGACCGGCTGTGGTAACCGCAGATCTACTTAATCCATCCGCAATCACCTCAGGCAGTGTTTTCACAAAAACCTTAAACAGAATTCCTCAAGAATGGAGATCAAGCATACTAATACGTTTCTTCAAAAAGAAGACAAATCGGACCCGAAAATTACAGAGGAATTAATTTATTAAACAAAACACTAAAATTAACAACCAAAGTGATAACAAATAAATTGAATTAAATTATAACACTAGCAGAAGAACAGCAAGGTTTTAGGTCGGGAAGATCATGCACCGACGCTATATTTATAATGAGACAAGTGCAAAAGAAATTATTATAATACAATAAACCGACATATCTATGTTTCGTGGACCTTACAAAAGCATTTGACCGTGTCAAATTAAAATACGTTATCCACTTACTGTATGCAAGAGAGATATCTCTAGGAGTAATCAAAAAGATCGAAAATATCTACCAAAGCAACAGAATAAAAGTAAAAGTAGAAGAAGAACCAACCGACCCCATTGAAGCTGCTAATGGGGTAAGACAGGGAGATTCCCTGAATCCTCTATTGTTCAGCCTAGTTATGGATGAAATAATAAAAAAAGTAAGAACTAAAAAAGGATATTCGATGGGACAAAACTTGAAATAATCTGCTATTCAGACGACGCAATACTACTCTCTTAAAGTGAAGATGATTTACAACGTATGCTGCACCAATTTAATATAACCGCCAGAAAATTTAAAATGTTAGTTTCCCCAAAAAGACAAAATGCATGGTTACAACAGCAAATTTATTATCATGTAAATTGGAGCTGGAAGGTCAGATAATAGACCAAGTGATGAAGTTTAAATATCTAGGCATTACATGGTACGGAAAGCTCTAAACTAAAGATCAAGTGAATAGAGCTAGTAGAGCCGCAGGCTGCCTAAATGAAACAATATGGAGAGAAAAAATATCGGGAAAGAAACGAAAGGCAGAATTTACAAAACAGTGATCAGAACAATAATGACATACGTGGCAGAAACAAGACCTGACACAGAGAGAACAAAAAAGATGAAACAGCAGACATGAAAACACTCTAATAGAGTATGACAACAAATAGAGTAGTAAAGACGGAAAGAGACGGTTCCCCAATAGGAAGACGATCAGTAGGAAGATCACAAAAACGATGGAATGACAACTTATTGGAGGCACATTGAAAAACAGACAGAGTCATGTCTATATAAAAAGAAAAAGAAGAATGCTTTGATATTGTGATAATAAGAAAAACTATTAAGTGCTTTTAATTTTTATTTCATATAGTCACTAATTGCAAATAGTTTTTATTTAATATTTGTCAAAATTTTAGAATGTTTCTTCAGTATTACCTTATCAGAGCAAACTTACTTTTATTCAAATATAAATAAGTGTTATCTTATCCTTATAAGTATTAGTTTTTATTTAAAAGTTACTACTTCTAAGGTAATATTTATTTTTATTCAATAGATCCATTGTTTCATTATCAAATTACTTTTTGAGATGTTTTTGAGATGAGAGTACTGTTTTGGTAATATTGTTTCAATTTAGATTATCTTTTTTGTAACGTGCTTTGTGTAACGTATATAGCCAAATATTTAATACTTCTTCTTCTTCGCGTGCTATATCAGAATTATCCGATGTTGGCGATCGCCATTGAGAAGGCTTCTCGATCTTCTGCAATATGGAATAATTGTCCTGCATTTGGTATCAGAGTCCATTCACGAATGTTTTTTAACCAAGAAACTTGTTTTCTTCCTACACCTCTACAGCCATCTATTGTGCCTTTTAAGATCATTATAATACTTTATATCGACTTCCCCTTACTATATGTCGCAGATAAAACATTTTTCAATGTTTAACAGTCTTTAGCAGTTCTTTGTCTTTGATGACGCTTCTTAGTACTTCTTCATTAGTTTTTCTTGCTGTCCAAGGTATCTTCAGCATTCGTCTATGAACCCACAGTTCCAATGCTTCAATCTTGTTCATGTTCGATACTTTTAGCGTCCACACTTCTGCACTATACTAAAGTACAGACCAAACATAGCACTTAACCATTCTTTGCCTTAGTTCTAAACTGATATGGTTATTGCAAAGAAATGACTTCATTTCCATAAAATTAGTTTTATTCATTGCTATTCTACGTTTTATTTCTGTGTCTGGATCTAGTTGGCCGTTATCACAGTTCCCAAAGATGTCATTTTGTGAACTTTCTCAACTTGGACTTCGTTCAATTGAAGCATTGCATCGGGATGTGGGTCACGACTAACACTAAAAGTTTGATTTTGTTTGAGTTTATTTTAATGCCCATTTCCTCTCCTACCTCGTGAATATGATCAAGCAGAATTTGAAGACCTTCAATATTTTCTGATAGAATTACTGTATCGTCTCATTAAGTAGTTCCCCGTTGATTTTTATTCCATATGGTTGTCTCTCAAGTGCCTTTTTAAATAACTGGTCCGAGTAAACATTGAACAATTTTGGCGACAAAATGCAACCTTGTCTGACTCCTCGTTGTATGGGAATTTCATCGGTGTAGTTATCTCCAATTTTTTACTATAGCGGTTTGATTCCAGTATAAATTTTTAATGACACGAATATCCTTGTCATCTATTCCGATATTTTTCAGTATTTGCCTTAATTTCACATGCTGTACTTTATCGAATGCCGTTTCGAAGTCCACGAAACATGCAAATACATCTTTTCTTTGGTCACGGCATTTTTGTAATAGGATTTTAAGCGCAAAAAGTGCCTCCCTGGTTCCCATAGCATTTATTAAACTAAATTGGGTATCTTCAAAATCTTCTTCGCAATTTCGTCTAATTCTGTTGTGGAGTATTCTGAGAAAAATTTTTAGAGTGTGGCTCATTAGGCTTATTAATCGATATTCTGAGCATTTTCTCGCATTGTGTTTTTTAGGTATTGCGATAAAGATGGATTTGAGCCAATCTGCGGGAATCATTCCGGTGTTATATATTGAATTAAAAAGTCTTACTACTTACTATTTTTTTGTTATCATTCTCTATTAGTTTCAGCAATTCAGTTGGTATATCATCTGGAGCACAAGCTTTTCTAATTTTAGCATTATATAATTCCTCGGTCGTCAGTACAGTTTTGGTAGAATTCGGCAATATTATTCCTGTCATCTTCAAACAACTCTGATATATACAGCTGCCATTCTTTTCTTATTTCTTGCTCATTTACAATAATTTTGTTATTAGTGTCAAGTACAGAGGGAACTCGTTTTTTAAATATATTACTCATTTCTTTTAGTTGTTTGTGCACATTAAAAAAGTTGTGTTTAGATATTACATCTTCCATTTCGTCGCACCTTTCTCTCATCCACTTTTCTTTCTCTAATTTGATCTCCTTTTTTATTCTTCTCTTCAGGTGTCTATATTCTGTTACATTAGATTTTATCAGTCGACGTTGTTCCCTTAATTTCAAGATGTCGTCTGTCATCCAGTTATTTTTCTTGATTAAGTTTTTTCTATAATCATTTTTTGTGGAGATTTCGTTAACTTCTTTCTTAAATTCACTCCATAGTTCTTCTGGGTCTTCTAGTTGTTCTCCGATGTTTTTTATTCTATTGTTAAATTCTTTTTTAACGTTATGTTTTATGTTTATATCTACAAAATGTTTATAGCGACAAAAACCAAAAACCATATACAATGGTTTTTGGTTTTTGTCGCTGAATTCGTTTTAACATTAGTTTAATATCTGCTACGAGTGGTTGATGATCAGATCCAATATCTGCCTCAGGATATGTAGTGACTTTTTTGACTTCATTTCGGAAACGCTCATTTACAAGTTATATATAGTCTATTTGATTTATTGAAGAGTCAGGGTTATTGCCATCATCAAATGGAGCTTTTCAAGTGTATAGTCGTCGCTTGGTTAGTTTATCCCAGGTGTTTGTAATGATCATATCGTTTTCTTATTATATTATTTAATACTTTGGAAACTAATTTAGCATTTACATTTCTTTAAAAATCATATATTTAATAATAATAAAAATATCAACAAAAACTTTAACAATTTAACAAACTTTAGTAACCAATAAAAATTTGCTGTATACAGTTTTGAAATTATATGAAGGCATATCTTTATGTAACCAAAATATCGTATGTTTTTAATTTCTGAAATTTTATTTCAGCTGTCTACTCACACCGGAATGCTTCTGATATTAGTCTTGCTAGTAGCAGGTCTCGCTGTGGCACTATGCTTCTTCGTGAGAAAACGGTTGCATTATTGGAGAGATTTAAATGTAGACCAGGCGGATATCAAATATGTATTTAAAAACATTTATATTTTATTTTCCAAGAAGTCTAGTGTTGCTGAAAGGACTCTGATAGGATATAACAAATTTCCCAACGCTAGGTTAGTCAACAGTTGTATCTACTATAAAACTATTTATTACCATTTTAACTTTTATCTCAGAAACCGATGTCAAAATAAAAGTATTTTAAATTTGTAAAACAACTCTAACTTTACTAAAACCTATTTAGCAAAAATTGTAAGAATTTTTTGGCAATTTAATAATCTTCCTTAATAATCTAAATAACATACTAAAAAAAACAATAAAATATTTATTTTTTAGGTATATTGGAACATATCAACTTTTAAAGCCGATGATGTTAATCAAAGATCCCAATCTTTTAAAAGATATCACCGTCAAAAATTTTGATCACTTTACGGATCATAGCAACCAAGTATCGGCAAACGCTGATCCACTATGGGCAAAAAATTTAGTGGCGCTTAGAGGTAAAAATTCGAAAAAAACTGTGTTATTAACTTAAGTTTTTTTATTAAAAAGAAAGAAAAATACAGTCAAGATTTGATTTCACGTACAGTGCGTCTGTGTATCGGCTTATACGTATTTCGCCCTAATAGGGCTCATCAGAACAGCTATTCACAGGCGTTCTGAACGTGAAAATAAATCTTTTCTGTCTTAAGAAGCAACTCTAACATGGCTTCGTATAGACGCAAATGGCGACATCTGATATTAGAATCCGTAAACTAATTTTCGAAACCAAATTCATATGGGCGGGCATGTTGGCGACGCTGAAGTACCTAAGGGTCTTAAAAGTACCCTTGTTTTGGGCGCTGCCGGAAGGATTATCGCAGGTACCAGATATTAGATATAATTAGGGTTTAATGATGGTCATTGAAATTTACTTAGTTACTAGTTATTAGTTTGTCAGAGAACAGTGATAAGTGAACATGGAAATTTCAACGTTAGTAAGTAATCGTAATAAAATTTTGCTCAAAGTGAACAGTTTTCCTTTTTCTCAAGATAAAGTACTAAAATCGGGAGAAACGTATTGGAGGTGCGTAAAACGGTCATGTAAAGCGAAGATATTCACGAAAGGACTAGAAAAGTTAGTGATCCGAAGTAATCTAGAACATAATCACGAGTGTGATATCAAGACGCTTAATAGACAGATTGTGCGTAGCAGTGCCAAAAGGAAGGCTAAGGATAATTTGACCGAAAGGCTGTCCAAAATCATACATAGTGCGTTGAAAGAAAATGTAGATTGCTTAAGCCACATATCTGTTAAAGACGTTAATTTAATACGAAATCAAATATACAGTGAACGGCGAATGGCTCAACCCAAACTGCCCAAAAGTAAAGAAGAAACTATTGCTGCGGTAAATATTATGAATATCCAAACACTTAAAGACGAGAATTTTATATTTGCGGTTGAACTAAGTTCTAACATTATCATCTTCTCGTGTAACACTAACATGCGTTTTCTGTGCGGCAGTGAAACGATTTATATGGACGGTACATTTAGTTACTGTGCTCAATATTTCAAGCAATTTTTTACCATATTTTTTTACCATATGTATTTATCAATGGACATTATATACCATTGTGTTGACCGACATATCGGAACAAACCTATATAAAACTATTTATTGTTTTGAAACGCAAATGTGAAGTAATTGTTTTAAAATTCAATCCAAAAATCATTTTCTCCGATTTTGAAATTGCTATCCACAATGCTGCGCGTTTTGAATTTCCAAATGTGCACATTAAATTGTGCCGTTTTCATCTTATGCAAGCTTGGTATCGTAATATCGATAGTTGTGGCTTAATTCGGGAATATAAATTGGCAGACAGTGAAATATCTAAATGGCTGAAATATATTTTTGGGTTGCCATTTTTACCTCCCTCAGAAGTCGAAGAATCTTTCAAATATGATTTTATGGCTATTCAACCAAAGGATTCAAAAATTGAAAAGTTTTCCGACTACTTATTGGACAACTACATTGGCGACCACGCAACATTTCCGTCGGGGATGTGGGCTGCGATGAGTGGGAGTTTACAGTTAACAACTAATGCTTGTGAATCGTTCCACTCGCGTTTTAATGATAATTTTTACCATGCTCATCCAAATATTTTTCATTTTATTGATGTTTTAAAAATTTTTTAAACTGAAACTTACATTAAAATTAATAGTGTCTGTAATAGTGAAAGTAATAGACATAGTAAAAAAATTATGTTGAGACATGGGGAATCTAAAATTTGCATTCCACGACATATCTCCTTAGCTAAGCAAAAATCCTTAGCGATTCTTATTAAAAATAGAAGAACTAAAAAAGGATACCAAATCGGTGAAAAACAACTTAAAATAATCTGCTATGCAGACGACGCAATACTACTCTCCCAAAGTGAAGATGACTTACAACGTATGATGCACCAATTTAATATAACCGCCAGAAAATTTAACATGTAATTACCCCAAAAAAGACAAAATGCATGGTTACAACACCAAATTTCCTAAGATGAAAATTGGAGCTGGAAAGTCACATAATAGAACAAGTGATGGAGTTTAAATATCTAGGCATCACATTATCTAGCTACGGAAAGCTCGAAGTCGAAGTGGAAGATCAAGTGAATAGAGCAAACAGAGCCGCAGGCTGCCTAACTGAAACATATGGAGAAATAAAAATATCAGGAAAGAAACGAAAGGCAGAATTTACAAAACAGTCATCAGACCAATAATGACATACGCGACAGAAACAAGACCTGATACAGAGAGGACAAAAAGGATGTTAGAAACAACAGAGATGAAAACACTTGATAGTGAAGAACATCAATTACTTGGGTAAGAAATAGAAGAGTAGAATGGAATGATTATTTAAACTGAATAACAACAAAGAACGTAGTAAAGACGGCAAGAGAAGGTTCCCCAATAGGAAGACGAGCAGTAGTAAGACCACGACAACGATGAAACGACAAATTACTGGAGGCACATCGAAAAACAGACATGAGAGTCATGTCTATATAAAAAGAAGAAGAAGAAGAAACTTTCTTCTTAACTATTAAAAACACCAAATATAAGATCTATATTCCAGCATTAGACCTCACCTAAATTTCTTGCTAAAATTTAAATTGAGTGCAGATTGATCAAAAAGTATACAAGATTATTTAATTGATGGATTCGACCGTTACTTGATGGAAATTCATTTTATGTAACAATAAAACACTGAAAACTTTGTTTTCAAACTTCCACAAAATTTATTTTAACTATTATCACTACAGCTGTTTCGGCTGATAGCCTTTCTCAAGTGATCTATTTTTGGCATGCGTTTACAATTTATAGTCTCTAATGAAATAGGTTGAGGAGGGGAGAACTGTTTGTCTCAAGTTGGTCATTCAGAATTATATCTGTGTTTTTTAATTTATTGATTTCCATAGATTCTAACAAAGATAGCTTAAGGCCTTTATTTTGAACGTGAAGAATTTTAAATTTGTCATTGAAAGAATGATTATGATCTAGAAGGTGAAGTGCGTATGTCGAATCTGTTTTTCTATTCTTGAAAGCCCTTTTATGTTCTGCTATTCGTTTCTCAAAGTTTCTACCAGTTTGACCGATGTAAGTTTTTGGGCAGTCGCCACATTGAATTTTATACACACCACTATTTAAGTGTTTTTTATTTTGGCTCTTGTTATTTTTAATATATTTACCTAGGTTTTTATTTGTTCGGAAAGCTGGTGTTATTCCTTTCTTTTTTATATGTTTGGCAATTTTTGTTGTTATTTTGCCTGTATATGTAATCGAGCAGAAGGTACTGGGTTTTTTCTCTGGTGGTGGAAATACTATTTTCAGGGCTTTCTTGTGTAGTTTTTGATTTAACATTTTATTAATTGTTTGTTCGTTGTATTCGTTGTTTACTGCTATTTGCTTAATTATATTTAATTCTGTCTCAAAGTTGTCTTTTGACATCGGAATTTCTGTTAATCTATGTAACATACTATGATAAGCTGCCAGTTTATGTTGTGTTGGATGAGATGATGAATTGTGTATAGTCGTGTCAGTATGGGTAGGTTTGTGAAATATAGAGAAGTCATGTTTGTTTTGAAGTCTGCTAATTTTTAAATCTAAAAAAATTTATGCATTGATTTTGTTCTGTTTCTATTGTAAATTCAATATGACTATGAAGTGAATTAATATACGATGAAAATTGGTCGAGTTGCCTGTTAGTTCCTGTGAAACATACCAGTACGTCGTCTACGTATCTCCACCAATATAAAAACTGTTTGAATACGGGATGTTTTGAAATTTTTGTCTCTAGATGATCCATAAAAATATCTGATAGCAATGGGCTTAGAGGATTACCCATTATAAGTCCTGCACTGTTATTTGTATATATTTTATTATTAAATTCAAAGTAGTCCTGGTTTATGCAAACTTCAAGAAGATGTAATATTTCAGATGTAATTACTGGATTTGTACTATTTTGGTCTAAAAGGTTTTTTACTAGAATAAAAGTTTCTGTAGGAGGGATACTAGAAATTTTGTGGAAGTTTGAAAACAAAGTTTTCAGTGTTTTATTGTTACAAGATTATTTAATTAAAACAATATAACCAAAATCAGATTGATGTATAACAAGCTAAAATAGAACCCGTAGCTTAGGGGCTAGCTACTAGCATAGCATTTATATTTCTAAAAATTATTCGAGCCATTTCTGTTCTTCAAAAGTTACGTTGATATGACGGTCTCGGCTACTTAAGTGGTCATTAAGTCATATTAGGTATACTTGCGCGACTGAAAACGCTAAGACTAGACGGTGGATGCAAGTTACCACTGCTCTGGACTACTGAAATGGTGGAAAATTCAGAGGTAAATTCAAAATCCAAAATCACCTAATTTTAAACAAAAAACTCAAACCCCCTCACACCACTGAGTAAACAACATTATCCTAAATAATTCTAAAAACAAGGCCGATGCAGTCAAAAATTCACTCCAGGCCGCCTACACAACCCCAGATAATCCAAACTTGCAACAGTGATTTTCAGTCAATTGAACATGGGACCGGATTTGGTGGCCCCAATATAAGGTCAGACAGATGTGCAGCTTTGACAAAAACAATTCTCTTGGCCCCGATGGCATACACACAAGATGTCTCAAAAAACTTCCAAAATTTCCTAAAAGTTTACTACCTCTGCTAGTCAATATCATCAAAGCTTGCTCCTCACTCTGCTACTTTCCTACTTCTTAGAAAATAGCCAGCATAATTATAATTTCCAAACCAGAAAAACCCCAAACCAGCTGGAATCCTCCTAGACGTCCTAGAAGAATTCCATAGCATATCAAATTTCCAATTCGGATTTAAAGCTGAACACTTATAATGTATTGATTAAAGCAGCAACTTTTATACCTCAACCAATCAATGAGCATTCTAAGTTCGCAATTCAGCATTTTCCTATATGCCCTAAAAGCATTAGATCAGGACTGGCTACCATATTTGATTGATAAACACATCCAATATGGACTGCCGACGTCATTTCTAAAAATCATTAATTCATATCTCTGCAATCAGATAGTTTACAATAGTAAATTTTCCCTTTCCATCAATAGATTCGAATTCATCCTTTTATATGATGACGATACTCCACTATTCTCCGCTGGTACCACTTATCATATTGCAGGAGGTCGGTCTGTATTTGACAAGGCCCAAATTCAATTAGACGAAATTATCAAATGGTCTAACAAATGAATATAAAGAGTCATATTTAACTCATGCAGCTAATCCTGGTTAGATACTTTGGCTTATTCCTATACGAAGAGGATGAGAACCAGATAGTGCTTTATAAAGAAATTCAGACCATCGGTGTCCTATCCAGCTGTAAAATTTATAAAAACGAATATCTCGGATAATGACATTAAAAACATTCAAATAGGGTGAAAAGAAGAGCCAATCTCTTAATGACTCACTGTGGTAAACTAGGTAACATATGTCCATGGACATATGTTACCTAGACAACAAACACCAAGTAAACACCTTGGCCACCCAAAGGAAAATTCTGAAGAGAATTTTGGATAAACGTTCACACTTCCAATCAGCATATCAATATGCTGATTTTATCTCTCAGCAAGATATATGTGCTAAGAACCATAGACAGCCTTAATACCAAAGTAAAAGAGATTCTTAAAACTTCCTTCCACCGCCGAGGTCAGAAGTGTTCACCAAATTTTCCAAGCAAAAGTTCTATTCTTATTAGCTAAGCTTCTCAGCTCGGCAGGCTACAAACTTCCTGATATAGAACTTTCCATAACGTCCTAAAAACTACACCTCAAAAGTATCTCCGAATATTGTGTATCTGGTAGCATAAGTCCTCTTCTGAGCAACTGACAAGGTAAACTTATATCTTTCTATTTTCCCTAAGAAAGATTGTCATAACTAGTTCTGAATCTTCTACAAGCTGATTCAGTTACACTGTTTATATTTGGCAACCATGTTCTTTTACTTTGCTAAATACGCAAGTGAAAAAACCTTCTTAATTTCCTCCTTAATCAAACCAAAAACTTGCTTAAGCTGTCGTACGTAGATTTTAATTATTCTGTAATAGATCATCTTCTGTCTGTTATTATTATACAGGCAGACACACACACACACACACACACACACACACTCCGATTTTAGCATCCCTAGACCTAGTGTTTTATTTAATCATATTTTTTTACAGGACAACAATGGCGCGACATGAGGACTGTTCTCAGTCCTTCTTTCACGAGTAGTAAGATGAAAGTTATGTTTACGCTGATGATAGAATGTGCCCAAAACTTTTCAAAGCACTTCCAAAAGAAAAACGAAGATGTTGTGGAAGTGGAATTGAAAGAAACTTTTACGCGATTTACCAACGATGTAATAGCTACTACTGCATTTGGTATTAAGGTTAATTCTCTAGATGATCCCGACAATGAATTTTATTTGATGGGAAGGGAAATCTCAAATGTTACTGGGACTTTAAAGATGCTGAAGTTCATGATTGGTGCAGCTTTTCCTAGATTGGCAGATGTAAGCTCAGTTTTTTTTTTCATTTTAACCCATTAAATAAAATCTACTTAATTTCATAGAGTAAAAAATAAATTCAAATTTATTTCATTTCTGGTTACCAAACTAATTTTCTGATAAAGAAACTTAAACAGTGATAATTTATGAAAACACTAAGTAGGCGTTGAGGTTAGAATGTAATATTCTCAAGTGATAATTTTGTAGAAACTAATTGCTATTGAAAAAAAGTAGGAAATTTTGAAAACTAACCCAAAATGAAAGTGAACAACCTTCTACTAAAGACGGAAAAGAGAAACATAATGATAGTACTTTTATGAGAACCAAAAAGTTATTTCAGCCCCAATTAAGAAAGATTGTGATAATCAATATATACCACACAACTGAATAACTATTCCCCGGAGGCTAAAAAAAGACAGAAATTATATGCCCAATCATAGGAATGTGACTGGTCTAACGTCCTGATCTATTTCGAGCTGCTGTGAATAGAATCAAATGGGTCAATGTGGTCGTCACCATCGCTAGAAAATAGACGCCTTTAGAAGAACTAGTGATAATCATAAATTGCAAAAAAACGAATATAGAACTTATAAGCAAAATTAAAGTAATCTTAAAAGACCAAAAGAATTTTCAAGATGAAATACGTAATTTAAGAAAAAAAAAACTTTATAAATGGCGATAGTAAAAATATACAGTGTGAAGGATATGTAACCTATTATGAAGAATAAGTAGACTAAGAGGAGGGCATTTTTTCATTAAAAGTAATTTAAAACAAGCTAAATCAAAACTACAGAAAAGACATCGTAGAAGAAAGTAAAAGAGATGACCGAAATACGGCGAGATAAATTGCATAAGAATCAACAGTATAGAAAATAAAAAACCATATCATAAAAAACACGAAAAGCAAAGATATGTAGAAAAAATAAGATTGTTTTTGGAACAGAAATTGAGCTATATTAAAGACCAATTAAAATATTAAAAAAGAATAAAATGGAAATGAAGCCAGCATAACACCACATGCAAAAAATTCGAAAATTTATTAAACTCAGAGAACCAAGATCAAGGCCTACAAATTCAACTACTAAATGCAATGCAAATACTATACCAAAAATATAATGAAGAAACGTCTACCAAGGAATAAATTGTAACTACTGTCAAAAAGAGAAATAAAACATGAGTGCAGAGTGTAGGTTGGAGTGGCTGCAGTTGTCCACACCCATTTGCCATGTCTGAACGGACAGCGCTGACAGTGGATGCGCAGCAGAAAAGACATGAATAAGATAGCGATTAGAAGTTTAAGATGTAGATTTGTTTTTGTAAAATTGTTTTTGAATTCAAGTAAAAAATAAAGAGAATCAAGTGTATTTTTTTATACAAGCGATTAAAATAAGCAAGCGATTTAGCGTAACAACTATAATAATAAAAACACCTGATAAAAAGTTGAAAATAATCGGGGCGAATATCAAGCAGGCTTTAGACCAAACGGATCAGTAAGGGACCAATTTTATTCGATAAGGGTATGATAGGTACGACAAATAGTAGTAAACTGAAGCACTAGAATATTTTTAATTTCCACAGAAAATAATAAGAATAAATAAAAGCATTCTCAATGACACTAAAAGTAAACTACTGATAGAAGGACAGTTTTAACATCAACAGAGGTCTACGACAAGGTCGCCCTTATTAACTATATTTTTCAATGTAATGAAATTGAAAATTGAGAATCTTGAGAACAAATTTTACGAGAAAGTAACATTCACAATATTGTTCATGGTAGTCATATTCTTGTGGCGAGATATTAATATAATTATTTAATTCATAAACATTTCAAAAAATTATTTATTATTATACTTATAACACTTATAATAAATACTACAGCAGTTTCTTCAGAACCAATGACGCTATTTAATATGAGACGATATTTTATGGAATGTATTGACAAATAAATTAAAGAAAATGATGGACATAGTGAACACTTATTTTGACAAAAAGTTTAATTTTATTTACTTTAACTACTTCTTAATTTGGTTTGTAAATAAAATGTTTTGTTTATTACTTTAATTTATTACAAAACGTAAAATGTTTGATGTAAAATCCAATTATTTTGTTATTTATCAAATCCTATTATTTTATTCTGCTGATATATTTATTTTATTTAATAATTAATTAAATATTAACTTTATTAAAGGTATTTTATACCAAAATTCATAAGTATTGATGTTTTTCTTTAATTTTCTTTCGTTGCCTAGAGTAATTGCGATAAATCAGAATTATGTAGTTGATTTCGAAATTGCGATTATCTCGAAGACTGTTGAGTTTTGAAGGTATTAACAAGTATACTTTTTTTTTTTGTTAAAATAACGTATCTTGAAATTTTTTTTTAAAATTATCGGTAACTTAAAGAGCAAAAAAGTTACGTGCAAATGTATGCCACATATGTGGCATATGTGGCGCCCTTTATCAGCTACATCAAAGTATACATCAAATTATAATTTCTGATATTTAATAGTACCCAGTTGTAAATGTTGACAAACATAAAAGTTATAGCGAAAAATAAAATTTTAAATTTCCACTCTAACACCCTGTATCTTTCTTAATATCAACATTTTATTACTTAATTTATACTTAATTTTTTAACTGTGCTGTAGTAAAATTGGTCAAACCGTCACATCTTGCGGTAGCGATAAAAATGGTATTTTTGAGTCGATTTAAGTGTAACAAATAGCTTGGTCATACCGTCACATCTTGCGGTAGCGATAAAAATAGAAAAAATGGTAAAAATGGTAAAATGGTAAAACGATAAAATGGTAAAATGGTAAAATGGTAAAATGGTAAAATGGTAAAATGGTAAAATGGTAAAATGGTAAAATGGTAAAATGGTAAAATGGTAAAATGGTAAAATGGTAAAATGGTAAAATGGTTAAAATGGTAAAATGGTAAAATGGTAAAATGGTAAAATGGTAAAATGGTAAAATGGTAAAATGGTAAAATGGTAAAATGGTAAAATGGTAAAATGGTAAAATGGTAAAATGGTAAAATGGTAAATGGTAAAATGGTAAAATGGTAAAATGGTAAAATGGTAAAATGGTAAAATGGTAAAATGGTAAAATGGTAAAATGGTAAAATGGTAAAATGGTAAAATGGTAAAATGGTAAAATGGTAAAATGGTAAAATGGTAAAATGGTAAATTGGTAAAATGGTAAAATGGTAAACTGGTAAAATGGAAAAATGGTAAAATGGTAAAATGGTAAAATGGTAAAATGGTAAAATGGTAAAATGGTAAAATGGTAAAATGGTAAAATGGTAAAATGGTAAAATGGTAAAATGGTAAAATGGTAAAATGGTAAAATGGTAAAATGGTAAAATGGTAAAAATGGTCGATTTAAGTGTAACAAATAGCTTGATCAAACCGTCACATCTTGTGGTAGCGATAAAAATGGTATTTGAGCGTCGATTTAAGTGTAACAAATAGCTATCGATAGCAAATTTTTAATTCTCGCTACTGATGAGCGTCAGTTTTTTTACCTTTTCTTAAATATTTGAAATAGTAATTACATATAAAACATCATTATTCATAATTATCAGCAACAGCATACCGTTTTTTCTATTTTTTAAATTTGGGACCACTTAAAAGTAAGTCACAAACTAGCGGCATCCAACCTGTTAACCGCCGCAGTCAAAGTGTTAAACTGAATTGGTCAAATAAAAAGTTTAATTAAATGTGTTTAAGAAACATTACTTATATTTAATGAATTTTGTTTATATATTTACAGCTGTTGAAATTAACATTCTTCGATAAGGAAACCAGAAATTTCTTTACCAAATTAATTGATAAAACTATACAAGTAAGAGAAGATAAAGGAATTGTTCGTCCCGATATGATACACTTACTAATGCAAGCTAGAAAGGGAGTCCATATTAAAGAGGAACTTAATTTGGATGAAGGATTTGCTACGGCAAAAGAAGTCGAAAATATAGCAGGTAATACAGTTGAGTCCATGGTTCCTTACCCGTGAGTCATTAATACCTAGCGAGAATAAGTATATGAATAAAAAATCGTATTAAAAAAAATTAAAAAAAGGGAAAAAAAACATTTACAAAGAAGGCCTAAACCTCGAGGAATTGAACCGGGTTTATGTCTTTGGGCTGTGAAAAATATTTGGTATTAACATTTGTATATATGTACAGCGTTAACAGGCCTTTTAGGCCCATTGCTGGATGGATAATTTCCATCGTTTTCTATTCTTAGTTAACAACTTCCAATCTCTGATTCCCATCTCTCTTACACCTTCCATCACTACATCTCTCCATTTCTTTCTTGGTATTCCTCTCTTGTTTTTGCCCTCAGGTACTTTCCAAGCAATATTCTTGACTAGTCTATTACCTTGCATTCTTTCTAGATGACCGAGCCATTCTAGTCTACGTTTTTTCACCACTTTTGTTATTGTAGGGTTAGCATACAAATGATACACTTCTGCATTAGTTAGTCTTCTCCATTCTCCCTCTACTACTTTTACACCAAATATTCTGCGAAGTATATTTCTTTCCCATGCTTCCAATGTGTTCTGTATGGTTTTGTTCAAAGTTCATGTCTTGACAGCATATAACATTGTGGGTCTAATTATAGTTTTGTATACTCTTATTTTTGTATTACGAGATATATTTTTGGCCTTTATTATTTTGCTCATGAGTCCAGCATACCTGTTGCTCTTGGTCAGTCTCAGGTTGATTTCAGGTTTTGTAGGATTCATTTCAATTGTATTCAAAAGGTCTCCAAACATTTATTTCCGTAAATATGACAACAAGAGATGTAAGAAATTTTCTATTCGTCAAATACAACAGTGATCAACAATTGATAAGGAACGAAGTAATATTTTACTCCAGAAATAGCCGAAGTTTGTAAAAATTTAATATAATTAAAGTAATATTAATACCCCGACTTTATTATCAATTTTAAACGAAATAAAATGAATTTTGCTTTATGGCCATTTTTTACTAGGATCAGCAAAAAGTTGAATATTAAAGTCGTCTATTTTCATTTATTCTATTCAAGTCGTCACACTAGAATCTCAACAAATTTTTAAAATATTTTAAATCATAATTATGATCCTTATCAATTGTTGAGCACTATATTACGACGATGTCCGAATATTTTCTAGAACAGTCATTAGGGCAAATCAGTGAATGTTAGTGCAAAATAATTGCAAGTGCTCCGTGTGTAAGGGAGTGTAAATTCGAAGCCAGATCTGCCACGTTAAGACAGACGATAAACTAGTAACGCTGCACAGTTTTCTTCCATTTGATAACATTGTCCGTAAGAGCCAACGCTGAAATCTACTGGTGAATCCGAGTGTAGACTTAGTATATCGAAAAGAGATAGATACAAAAAAGACGTTTAGGGACGTTTTCAGATTTTAAATACAATTTGTGGTGTTTCTGGTTTGTTCACTTGTGGCTGTCAGTTTATTGGATTTTCTCTGTTTTTTGTCCTGTTTTTGCATTTAGAATTTATGTACCAGGATGGTAAGTAAGCCAACCTTTTGTTGAGAATTATAAGTAGGACTTAACATAACAAATAACTTTTTAGAGAAATATTATGTTACCTGTAAAGTGTTGATAATTGCAGTGGCGCACCCAGGAGAGGTTTGGGGGTTGAAACCCTTCCAGTGCACCATTCGGACACTGTTACTTACAAATTTTAAGGACTAAAAATGGTGGAGGTAGCAAAAAAAAAATTTGGTGCCCCGCCAAAACCCCCCCACAGGAAAATTCTGGGTGCGCCACTGGATGAATGAGCTGAAAGCTAAAGAAATTGTTTCTACAAGAAAAACAACCTTGTGTAGAATATTAAAAGATTTGGACTAAATTTTAAAAAAGATGATCATCAAAGAGCTTTATTTAAAATAACTCCTATCTCAGCACAACGAGGGTGTTTCTTATGTACATAACTACGTGGAAATCAGAAATAGTACATATCTACGAGAATTTGTATTTTTAGACGAAACGTAGATTTTTTCTATGCCTGTTCAGCAAAAGGTTTTATTTCAGACGTCATTTTGTTATTTTGCTTCAAATCCTTGACTGCAGATTATCACGGTGTAATGAATAATAAAATATTTACCAAATGAATAACTACACAATTACTTTCTAATTTAGAATACCCATCTTTGATTATCATGGACAATGCCCCTACCATAGTTGAATCATGAATAAACAACCTTCCTTGGATAGTTGCTGATGCGATCAATAATTCTTTGTTTTTAATCTTCAGGCATTTTTCGATGGGTAGCTGTCTTTTCTTTTCTATGATCTTTATTAACTGTTAAATTCCACAAGAGCAAACTGGATTTACCAAAGGTAGAGGCACTCGAGAACACCTGCTGAATATAAGACAGATAATTGAGAAATCTAGGGAATTCAACATCCCACTATACATCTGTTTTACAGATTACCGTAAAGTGTTCGACAGGGTCAAGTGGAGACACTTAAGGCGAATACTAAAAGAAGTAGGTGTACCACAACATCTAATTATGCTTATAACTGAACTATATGAACACACTACTGGATCAGTTAAAGTACTTGACACACTTTCGAACGAGTTTCATCCAGAACGGGGTGTCAGACAAGGATGTATACTATCTCCAGAATTATTCAACATATATGGAGAGTATATTATGCGAAGAGCACTTGAAGGATGAGAAAAGGGCGTCTCAATAAATGGTCATAAACTAAACAACCTCCGTTTCGCAGATGACACAGCCCTTCTTGCAAATAGTCAAGCAAAGCTGATGGAACTTATACGACTGATCGAAAACGAAAGTCAAATATTTGGTCTGCAATTAAACATATCAAAGACAAAGATCATGATAGTGTATAGACTACACAACAACCATCCACACATAACCACAATTGACCGGTTCGAGGTTGTGAGCTGATACTTATATCTGGGATCATTAATCACAAACACAGGGTCATTACAAGAAGAGATTAAACGTAGATGTGATCTAGCAAAAGTTGCCACAGCAAAAATGACCAAAATATGGAACGAATGTCAAATTTCAAGAGCGATAAAGATGAGGTTGATCAACTGCTTAATATTCCCAATACTGACCTACGGATGTGAATCTTGGACTCTGAGACAATCGGAGAGAAAAAAGATAGACGCCACTGAAATGTTCTGTTGGAGACGAATGTTACGAATTCCTTGAACCGACCGTAGAACAAATAATTCAATTTTAAGAGAGCTAAAAGTTAGCTAACGACTCTCTAGTAAAGTCCATCTCCAACAATTAAAATATTTTGGGCATGTTATGAGAGCAAACACAGAAAACAATAATACAAGGAAAGGTAGAAGGCCGAAGATCACGAGGAAGAACCCCAACAAGATGGATAGATCAAATTACAGGAATATGCCAAAGACCTATGCATGAATTAAAAGAAATGACCAGAGACAGAGATCTCTGGAGACGGACAATACACGACATCACGTCGACCACTACACTCCCCCTGGGGGTCAGGATTGAAGAGAGAGAGAGAGAGAGAGAGATTAACTTCTGTTAAACCAACTTTTTTTAAATATCGGTCGGCTCGGCAAATTTTGCCGAGTATATTTTCAACATGTGAATAAACATTTTTAAACATACTACTTTACCAGCTAGGTGGTATATCCTTGTGTGGCTTCTTTTAGTCAATAGTTTATTTTTTTCAACCTAAAAGACATTCTGAATTTGAATTATTTCATTTTTAAAATAATTTGTTTAATCATATTAAATTTAAATTATTAGATTACAAATAATTTAAGATTTCAATAAAACTGTATATATTTTGTTTTAGAAAAAGCCGTTTCAAAAGAAATTACCAATCTAGACATTACGGCCCAAGCGTTAATTTTCTTTCTAGCCGGATTCGAAACTGTAGCCTCAACAATGTGTTTTGTTGGCTATGAATTGGCTGCCAATCCAGAATACCAGAAGAGACTGAGGGAAGAAATTAGGGAAACTTTAAATCAGTGTCAGGAGAATCTGACTTATGAAGCTATATTGAAGATGAAGTATATGGATATGTTTGTGTCAGGTAAATATATTTTTTTTTACTTTTAATGGATTCAACTATTTTTCTATAACCTGCTTTTTCTTCTTTATCTTTTTATGACACGACTCTGTCTATTTTGCAATGTGCCTCCAGTAAGTTATCGTTCCATCGCCCTCGTGGTCTTTTCGCCTTCTTCTTCCTATCGGGGAACTGTTTCTTGTCGTATTTATTACTCTATTTGTTGTCATTAGGCATATATAATCGTTCCATTCCACTCTTCTATTTCTTACCCAATGCTTGATGTTTTCTAACTTGCATCTACGTCGTATATCTGTACTTCTAGCTCTGTCCCGTAGTATTTTTTATCGTGCGTTTTCTTTACTGTTTCTAACATCCTTTTTGTCCTTTCTGTGTCACTAGTAATTTGAGATTTCAATGCCACACTGGGTAGAAAACTAAACAAAGAAGAAACTAAAATATAAGATTTCAGGTATGTTCAGAGAAATGATAGAGGTGCTACTTTGATGAACTACCTAGAAAAAAAGCATCTATACGCAATGGACTTCTTTTACAAATAGAAGCCCCAACGAACATGGACATGGATCAGCCCTAATGGATCCACAAAAAATGAGATCGACTACATACTGTCCACAGAACGATATATCATTAAAGATGTAACAGTTCTTAACAGATTCACAACAGGTAGCGATCACAGAATGCTCAGAGCAAAAATTAGTATTGATGGTAACTATGAAATGAAAAGAAAAATAATTAGAAACAAGGATCTAGTAGATCGAAACAAACTAAGGCAATATAAAGAGATATACAAAGACCTATTAAAAGAACAACTGACCCAAAATTAGACAGTGATGATAAAGATATAGACGAAACACAACAAATAGCAACGATGATTACATCAGGAAAAGAAATAGCAAAAATGATCTAAAAAAGGACAATTATATAGAAGTAACGGATTTTGACAAGAGCTATGAGTGATGCCGATTTAGTACACAAGTTTACCTGTTATTTACAAGGTCATAGCTCTTGCCGAAATTCATTACCTATATCAACAGAAACAAAGAAGCTTATGAATAAAAGAAGGAAGCTGAACGAAGAAGGCAAAAGGAGATCTGGAGAATATTTAGAAATGAATAAAGACAATAAGCAGAATGACGAAAGAAAATAAAAGAAAAGAACCAGAAATAAAAAAAGGAGAAGTACAGGACAACAAAAATATGAAATGCTTAAGACCGAAATTAGATAATTTTAAAATAAACAAAATAAAAGCTATAAACGGAGTAGAAACAAATATTAAAGATGCCACATCATAAATATAATCCACCATTTCTACTCAGAATTATATAAAACAAAAAAGGAACCACCAGAAGAAATTAAAAACCAACAAGGCTAAAATAAAAAATGTCAACTCACAACTACAGCCCAAAATAAGCAAATCAGAAATAAAGAAGGCATTGCAAGAAATTAAAAACAACAAATCGCCTGGAAAAGATTAAATAACTGCAGAGATGCTGAAATATGGTGGAAAAGAGGTAATTAATACTCTACATTCCCTTTTTAACGAGGTAATTAAAGAAAGAAGAATCCCAAACAACTGAAAGGAATCCGTAACCACTATCCTACACAAGAAAGGGGATAAAGCAGATATAAAAAAAAACTACCATCCTACAACGTTCCTCAATGTAATGTATAAACTCCTAACAAAAGTATTAACCAACAGATTGACGACAAAATTAAAAAAAGTATGAAAATACTTATATAACGAGTAAATTAATACCATATTCCTCTATACATAGCGTTCATAGATTTCGAAAAGTCTTTCGACAGTGTCGAACATTGGACAGTGAAAAGTTCGTTGATTAACAGCACAATTGACCACAGATATTCGAAACTAATAGTCAATATATATATATATATATATATATATATATATATATATATATATATATATATATATATATATATATATATATATATATATATATATTATAAGGAAGCCAAAAGAACAATTAAAATATATGAAGGAACAAAGTAAATACAAATACATAAAGGCGTGAGACAGGGTGACTCAATACCACCGACACTTTTGAATCAGGCTCTGGAAGATATTTTTAAAAGATTAGAATGGGAAGAAAAAGGTATAAAAATGTGTGGACAACGCTTGAACCATCTAAGGTACGCTGATGACATCGTATTGGACATCTTTTGGACGTCTTCTTTTTCTGGTTCCTATCCGTTTCGGATGTTGGAAATCATATTGGCAATTATAACCTTGCTCGCTGCGGCTCGAAACAGCTCCGTTGAGGTTTTCTTAAACCATGTTCTTAAATTCCGCAGCCATGATATTCTCCTTCTACCGGGTCCGCGCTTACCTTTGACTTTTCCTTGCAATATAGACTGTAGCAGGAAGTAACGGTGCTGATTTCTCAAAAAATGTAACTGGACGTAGAAGCTGGAAATATAGGCCCTAATATGAATTACAGCAATACCAAAATTATAACAAATACATGAAGACATCACAATTAGGATCGGACCAGATGAAATACTGAACATTTACAAAAGCAAACATGGACAAAGTCATAAAAACCCAAAGAGCAAGTAAGACTAATGGATAAAAAGAGAAACGAGTGGATAAGAGAGAAAACAAAAGTGAGGGATGTTAGACAAGAAGTTGCAAAATTAAAATGGAGATTTTCGGACACAATATAAGATAAAAAGAAGACCGATTAAACAAAATTCTTTTAAGTTGAACACCGTGGAAATATAAACGAAGCAGAGGAAGGCTCCAAATGAGATGGGCAGATGATATCAAAAAGCACGTGGGCTCTAGGTGGATGACTGTAGCGACAGACAGAGAAGAATGGAAAAATATTGGGAAGGCCTGTGGACAAAGATGGACCGAAGAAGGCTAATTAGATGGATATATAGATAGATAGTGCCAGGTCGTGTTTCTACCGCGTATGTCATTATTGGTTTGATGTCTGTTTTGTACATTCTGCCTTTCATTTCTTTTCTTTTCTCCATATTGTTTCATTCAGGCAACCTGCGGCTCTGTTTGCTCTATTCACTTGATTTTCCTTTTTTGTTTCAAATTTTCGTGGCTAGATAATGTGATGACTAGTTATTGAAACTTCATCACTTGTTCTATTATCTGACTTTTCAGCTCCTATTTAATTCTTAGTTTGACTAAAAAGTTTTATTTAAAAATACTTTATGAAAGGTATATAATTACCCTTTTATAAAAGACTTTTTAATTAGATATCTTATATTAGGGATTTTTAAATAATTCATGGTACACAACCAACTACAGGAATTTCATTTTCCTTGTAGATTTTAGTTAGAATAAGTATTAAAACAGTTGATTCTTATTTCAAAATGTTATTAGCAATATATTTTTGGTTTCTATCGTCTTAACGTCCTTAGATAGAGATTATTAAATGTAAGATCCTATCTGTGATAAATCTTTCATCAATTAAAAAAAAAAATGATTTCTTTTAATTAAGATACTAACTATTTGCTTCTTTCAGAATCTATGAGAAAATGGCCCGTGACTATAATGACCGAACGACAATGTACCAAAGATTACATCATTAAACCCGAACGACCAGAAGAAGCGCCAGTTACTATCAAAAAAGGAATGTCAATCTGGATGCCGGTATTTGCAATTCATAGAGATCCAAAATACTATCCAGATCCAAATAAATTCGACCCTGAAAGATTTAATGAGCAAAACAAAAGTAATATTAACCCTTACACGTATTTCCCATTTGGGCTAGGTCCAAGAAGTTGTATAGGTTCCAGATTTGCTTTATTAGAAATCAAAGTGGTGTTTATTTATTTGCTTAAAGATTTCCAAATTGTTCCTGTAGAAAAATCGCAAATTCCTCTGGTTATTTCGAAAAAGAATTTTAATCTCTCATCTGAAGGTGGATTTTGGTTTGGACTAAAGCGTTTATAAGTTTTGATACGTAATATGTTCATAGATTAGAGTAAGGTGGATATGTAGAATGTTATATATTTTTTTAAATAATAGGTATTTAGAATAATTTATGTAATTCTTTCGCTGTATTATTAACTATCCTCCTATTTCAATTTTACCATCATTATTTTAGTCCTACCCTTGATAACCCTTCCTACTCACATTTTAACCCCACTTCGTTACAAATACAGACAGTTTTAAAATAGCAAAGAAGTAAGACTCCCTCTTGATTGTCGACTGCCGCTAGGGACAGTCGTTCTCTCTTACCTGTTACCTATCGCTTGGTACAAGTATCTCTCTTTTCGTTGAGGATAGTCCTCTCTCTCTCTCTAATCGCTTATTAAGCAGAACAGCATCTCTGTTGGCTGTTTTTTATCGCTAAAAAGACGCTCTATACTTTTAACTTCCGCTAACTAATTATCCCTCTCCCGATTTAGTTACGGGAAAAATACCGCATATACTATTTTAAATCGTATATAGACGCAAAGTGTGTTCTATCTCGTGATATCAGTGTAAACACTTGTTTAGAAACCGGTGAAAGAAAGAGTAACTAAAGTAAAGTTATTTTGGTTTTTGACAATTGTACGGCACACGCCACTATCCCACTGATGGAAAATGTAAAAATTATTTTTTTCCTGCTAACATGACTTAAGTTTTCCAGCCTATGGACCAGGGTGTCATAAAAATTTTTAAACATTTTAACAGACGTTTTTTGGTTGAAAACATATTGATGGAAGATTGCGACACCCTTAAAATAAAGTTAGATATTCTACAAGCATCTCGAATGTGTAAGAAAGCTTGGGACCAAGTAACACCCGAAACGATCAAACACTGTTTCAAAAGAGCTGGTTTCATAAAAAATGAGGAGAACACAGACGACAATTTAACAGAAGAGCTGCTTTCAGTTGACTGCTGGGGGGACATCATTTCTGACCCTGCCATCTCTTATGAAGATTTTGTCAACGTGGATGAAGATGTTGCAGTATGTGGTGAAATAACCGATACAGAGATCATCGCTGAAGTGCTTAGGGACAATGATGAAAAACAAGAGAGTGATGAAGACGACGCATCATTAGGTGCGGGAGAAATACATGTTCCGAGTGCGGCCGAAGTAACACACCATATTACGCAACTTAAACGGTACTTTGAAAGTAAAAATGATGTAAGTCACTCTATTTTTAGTTCACTGAACATCTTAGAATCGTTTGTCATTACCGAGACGTTAAATTCTAAAAAGCAGCTAAAAATTTTTTTATTTATTTAGAAAAATTAGTCTATTTTCATTAATTGTAACAAATATGTATTCTTATTTTCAATAAATTTTTTGAGACAAAATGTTTTATTTTTTTAATGATGCGTTCTCACTGGGAATTTTTTATCTGCCGATTGTTTCGGCTAAGATTTGGCCAAAAATACCAATGAGAAAACCTGCAAATGATAAAAATCGACAATAATTGACCATTTGTTATACCTTGCAAATGCTTTAATTGGTATTCTGGCCTAATTTTGTTGGCCCATTTTTTTCGGTTGACAAAATTCGGGCAAAAATAGTAACGAAAACATCTGCAAGCGATAAAAATGGTCAACTATTGTTGATTTTTATCATTTGTAAATGTTTTTGTAGGCATCTTTGTTTTTTGTGGATATATTTTTAATTCGAATTTTTGGATAAATCTGCAAACGATAAAATATTTCGATATCTCTGTAGAAAGCATCTGCAAGCGATAAAAATGGTCAACTATTGTTGATTTTTATACTTTGCAAATGTTTTTGTAGGCATCTTTGTTTTTTTGTGGAGATATTTTTAATTCGAATTTTTGGATAATTCGAATTTTTTTAACGGTCCCTTGAGGTTCGAATTATCCAAGTTTCACTGTATTTATGATTTCTGCCTCGATGGGTAATTTTATTCCGGTATCCTAATATCCGGTATTAGGAACATTTCTTTTGTAAGTCTAAATTAACCGTTTTTTATAAAAATTTTAAATTAATTTTTTACTTTGTAGAAATGATTTATTTTCGTTCAATAAATGATTCTCTATGGTCTATTACTTGTTTTGCTCTAAAATATTCATAAATTTATTGACGTATTAAAACTAATATTAGGGTTCAAAAAAAGGTCCGATATTAGGGCACTTTACTCTATTCCTAGTTTGTTTTTCCTTTTTCTTTCACACCTTTAATATCTTTGAAATATATTTAAAACAAATTGTTTGCGATTTTTAAATGATTAAATGTTCCTATTTGATGACATTCTCTCAATTTTTCTAGATATACTAAAAAAGGGTCTGTCTATGGCATTTTCTTGGTATAAAATATTATGACCAAAAGAAGAAAAATGGAATGGAATCAACACATCGAAAGAATGACAGAAAATAGAATAGTACGAATAGCAAGAGACAAATCGCAAAATGGAAGAAGATTATTGGGACGACCGAGGAAGAGATGGTCAGACAACGTCAATTGAGGCTAAAAACCGAAGTAAAACAGGTATTAAGCCTAGTTATAAAGTAGGAAGAAGAAGAAATTTTTATTTAACACATAATTGAAAAAATGTAACAAAAAAACTAAGAATTGTGTCAATGGTTTTAATGAAAAATATCTTGAAATTATAAACATTTTAAGTACTACGTGACCTAAGAGGTATCTAGTACCTAGTACCTAGTAGGTATTTATAGCAGTGTATTAAAAAGATCATTATATTAATACGTATAATTAGTCCGAGTTACACAAACAGTACTGTAATGTTTACAAAACCAGGTTACTATTTTATTGTGTTCCCCCATTGTTTACCATCTGTTCCAACCGGCGTTTCCATAACCAGCGTTTCTCCATCCGGCGTTTCCATAACCAATGTTTCCATAACCAGCGTGTCCATAACCGGCATTTCCATAACCAGCGTTTCCAAACCCGATATATCCGTGAGAGGTGGCACCACCATGATAAACGGGTCTAACAGGAACGACACGAGTATGAGTATAAACTGCAGGAGCAACTGCGACTGATCTGTGTACAGATGGAGCAGTGTAAACGCTACCATAGTGACCCCAAGCACCTGGTGCGGGGACAGCGCTCGCTACGGCAAGGATGGCCAATACGTTGACACACTAAAACGAATTGATCAATAATTAATATTATTTCTGGTCTATAGTTACAGGGTAAGCAATGTTCACAATTTTAAACAAACCTGTGACAAATAAAAAGAAATTTTAGAACACGCTTTAAAAATAACGAGTTATCAAAGTTACGGCAGGTAGATTGATTAATACAGAAAAATTGGACAGCTACACTTTTGTTAATTAACAGTTAATGCTCTAATTAGTTTTACAGAGAAAATCATTGCACAAAAAAATGTTGGAGGTATCTCTGAAAGTATAAAATTTATTATATCATTTTGACTGCTAAATTGTTTTAAGAGTTTACCCTTTAAGCTCTAGCTTACAAGAAAGTAGATAAAGAACAGGATATGATTCTAGGTCAAATGCTCAAAATGAATTGCTGGATATAAAAATTGCCCGAAATACAAATTGCTCGAATAAAAAACAAAGTTATATCGAATATTTATTCACAATATATATATATATATATATATATATATATATATATATATATATATATTATATATATATATATATATATATATATATATATATATATCAAAAATACTTTTAAATTGACTAATTGTTTATTAAACCCAATAACCTATCAGCACTACCTCTATGTTTTTTATGGCCCACTTGAGGATGTTCGCCACTTATGTAGTGTTCAATTTTTAGTTCATTTAAGCTTTGTTCTCGTTTTAGGGCAGAAATCAATTTCCAAATGCTTGGATGATCTTCACTATTTGCATTTGGAATCCGTGATTCCAGCCTTCGATAAAATTATTTGTTTCAGAAAGTACATCCTGTATTACATCGTAAAAATCCCACATGGTATGGGCAAGTGGTTGACGCCCCTGCGTTGTGGCCGGCCAATTCAGGTATGTTTGAAATAATATATGACAGCCTCAAACTATGGTTGGAATATGTTCTCGTCGCAGATATGATCAAAAGCATTAACCAGGTCATTTGCGGGAACAAATGTAAAGGCTGGAAGCATTTTTATATTTAAAGCAGTCTGTGGATTCTTAACTGTCTGTGGATTCTGTGGAAATATTAACGAGTCAAACGAATACACCAGAGAAATAAGAATACGAATAGAGAAAGCCCGCAGTGCCTTTAACAACATGAAACAAATGTTGTGTAGCCGAAACCTAAGCCTAAAGCTGAAAATACGAATTTCGGTCCTGTTATATGGGGTGGAGGCGTGGACACTAAATAAGCAATGTATGGGTAAGCTGGAGGCATTTGAGATGTAAGCGTACCGAAGAATGTTAAAAATCTCCTGGAAGGATAAGATAACTAACCAAGTTGTATTAGACAGGATAAACAAACAAAAGGAGGTCGTATTGAGTGTTAAAATGAGAAAACTACAATACCTGGGACATATTACACGTGGGAATAAATATCAACTGTTACAACTAATTATGCAAGGAAAGATTGAAGGTAGGCGCAGCATAGGTAGGAGAAGAATGTCATGGTTGAGAAACCTCAGCGGGTGGTTTGCTTGCACTTTCATACAATTGTTCCGAGCGGAAGCCTCCAGGGTCAAAATTGCTATGATGATAGCCAACCTTCGTAGCGGAGATGGCACGTGAAGAAGAAGAAGTGGATTCTTCTTGTATTCCCTTTGTAAACCGTTTGACGGGATATGCCGAAAGATGCATTGGCAAAAATGAAAAAAGCATCAGCTATGTACAGTATCTGGTGACTCTTTTTGTACAGAGCTTATAATTGCCAATTCAAAATCAGTCATGCTAATTTGGTTGGTGCTGAGTTGGTGCTGCATTAGCAGGCAAAAAGTTTTTTTTATTTCTTGTAAGAATTTAATATAAGTCTGTTCTGTCTTATTCTGCGATAGAGCGAATACCAGAGGAATGGCCACATTGTCCTTTAGTCCATAAATTATATAGAATTATTCAAAGAGCGTTAAAACTACTTTGAAAGTAGTAATCTTATTTTATGTCTATAAAAAAAATCAAATTTTTAAAATCGCACCCTTAGTGCAAGA